AAACCTCTTCTCCTACACCAGATATCCCCCCTGCAGAGCCAGTGTGTTTCGCCTATGTGACTAACAACCAACAGTACCTGATGCTGTCCTGCTCCTGGGATGGAGGGGCCCCCAAAGCTTTGGTGTGGTGGGAGGGCCCGGGTGGCCAGGGCAAAGGCGGGGAAGAGAACTCCAACATCCTGATCCTTCGCTACGGCACTGCCCGCAGCGGGAAACCTTACACCTGCCATGCTAAGCACCCCCTTCTGGTCCAAACCAAGACCTGCAGGCTGACACTGGGTCAGTGCACATTGTCAGACACACCTTACAACAAATAACAGATGATTTGTTAATTAATTTTTATATTGTCACCTGCAGAGGCTCCTGTATTGCTGACACAGCGCAGGGTTGTGTCTGTATACGAGGGGAGTGATGTCGAGCTCAGCTGCAACCTGAGAGCCAACTACCTTCCCGTCAATGATATCATCTGGTTTAACAATCAGGGTGTGGACGTTCAAGGCACCTCGAAGTACACACTGCTGCGAACATCTGCATGGGCCAATCTGACTGTGAAAGACACGCATGAGATCCAAGACAGCGGCGAGTACCGCTGCTCCACTTCCAACGCAGTGGGAGGAACTGAAATCAATGTCACTTTAGTAGTCAAGAGTAAGAAATTGTTTGAAGCTTTTCAATAGTTCAACATTTTGGAAAATACTCTTAATCACTCACTTGCTGAGAGATACCATTCTCATGTCTATGGGAAATATGAAGCTGCAGTTACAGTACACAGTTAGCTTAGCTTAGCATAAAGATACAAAACTGAAATGTAAAAACACCATGTTGTGGTTTTAGGGGGGTATATGTATGAGACTACTTGCTGATCAGGAGAAGTGACTCCCTGAAGTCTTGCCAGGCAGCCAGCAGAGCGTCTCATGTAACCAGAGTAGAGTGGTCTTCTCATCTAACTCTAAGCAAGCAAATTTAGACTAAACATCTACATTTGCAAGCAGCTTTGTGAAGCTGAAATTAGAGCTTTGGGCTTTTGCCAAATTAGTTCAAACAATGCTGATTAAACCTATGACTGCCAGGTAAATCTCTCTGGATTTTGCAGTATACCAGAGTTTTTAAATTTGGGGTCTGTAGCAACATTCCTACACCGGAGCACTGGTAGAGATGTGTTATATGTCAACCAGCATTAACTGGTTTGTCAGAGCTGGTAGAGGTGTATGTCTTAAGCATGCAATCAACAGTGTTTGTGTAATTAGGAAGGGAAAGACAAAAGTTCTTCACTGCAGGTTTGACATGCTAAAAATTGCTAATCGCCACTAAACTCAACGTACAATGGAGGCTGAATGTCATTAGCTTTGCAGATATTTGATGAAAAAACAAAGTATTGGACAAATAAATGCTTTGATCTGATGGTGGCACAAGACTATAAGTGAGGGAATCACCAAAGTCAGATTGACAGAAATGAACATGTGAATCAAAATTTCATGGTAATCAATCCAATACTAGAGATTTCAGACACCGATTTCACTGAAAACCAAAAATGTGAACCTCATGGTGGCACCAGAGGAGAGTCAAGGGATCATCAAAGTTGTTAGTATTCATCCTCTTTGGACCACGTCAGTACAAAATTTTATGGTAATCCATCCAGTAGATAAATCTGGACCAGAGTGGACCAATCAACAAACTGAAGTGCATATTTTCATTTTTATTGTGTTTTGTCTCTTTAGGGCACCCCATGCCACCCAATGCGACCCTGGTCAAAGTGGTGTACATCAGCCGACAACGTAACGAGGTGGAGCTAGAGTGGCAGGTAGAGAACGAAGAAGAAAAAGGTTGGACAGGTTTCATCCTGGAGCACGTATGGTTGTCAGAGCGACCAGGAAGGAGAGGCAGCAGCAATGATTCAAAGGAGGACACGGAGGAGAGGATCGGTCCACCTGTCTGGTACCGTAACATCATCCAGGACCCAGAAGTCAGGAGTCACACAATAAGCAGGCTGACACCAACCGCCACCTACCAGTTCCGCATCATACCTGTCAACCACCGTACCCTCGGACATCCTTCAGCAGCAAAGACTCCAGGTATAGTAAGTGAACAGAGTGAGGAAAGTGTGGTCAGATACAGGACTTTTGGCAGAAAACTGAACAAAGATAGGAGCTTGAGTAAGGGAGTTAGGGTGCATTTTATCGCTTAAAACAAGTCATAAATTGTGAAATTGTAAAAAGGCAAAAGCCAGTTGAGTTAGGTCATTATTCAAACATTGTTGATGCTGGTGTCTCACTGTGATTGCTGTTTCAATGACCGTCTAACATTTTTTGTTTTTCTTTTTTTGTTATCCACTTAGGTGAAAGACACACACAAACAAAAAACACACACACACACAATTACACACACCTCACAGCCTCACACCTTCCACTCACTTCCTCTTTACCTCCTTCACTGCCCTACTCCTTACCTTTCCTCTCACTGGCCCTGTGTGCTTCTTGTAAAATTCTTTGTGTTAACTGTACAATGTAAAGTAGTATTTGACCGCTCTAACCGCATCAGGTGATTGTTTAGAGTGTAGAAAGGATTGTAGGTCAAGTGTCAGGGTAGGATAGGCAAGTGGTTTTCAACCCCTGTACTAATCCATACCAGTACTCAGTTCAACTTATTTTGTAACTTTTGCTGAAAAGTGGCCACGTTGGATAATGTTGAAAGCTAAAACCAATTTTAGCAGTACCACAAATAAAGAGAAGTCATAAATAAAACAGCAATATCTACTAAGATAAGCCACTAAGACCTAAACCTTTTTTTTAAAGAGGAAGCATGTTTTAATTCCTCTTTCAAAAGTTACACATTCTTATTTTACTGTAATTCATCCAAACTTACGAAAAAACGCGCTTTCTCAAAATACTTGTACTTTGGCTTTTTCACAGTGAAGCTAACTTTAACTAAACAATAACGATGGGTTAAGTTTACAGAACAAAAAACAATGCTGACATGGGTTGAGAACCACTAGAGGGAGCTGAAACATGATGAAAAACGATGTGAGATACGTATTAAATGCAGCAGCTGTTTTGTCAGAGGTGTACTGTTTTGCAATGTGTAACTGTGATGTGTTGCAGCGGAACCACGCTACAACGTGTACCCCGCTGTGATTGGAGCAGCTATAGGTGGGATGCTCTTTGCAGCCATCCTCACGGCGCTGCTGCTCGTGTTCATAATCCGCAACCGCAACAACAATCCTCGTAAGTCCCATACACAGAAGCATCCTAATGACTTGAATAATAAAAGCTACTGTCCCATTATGTTGCTTTAATGTTTTGTGTCTTTTCCCACAGGGCTACATGACATGCTGTTTGGTTTGTGAGTATCTGTATTAATGTCTACCACAATGAAGAATCTGTTGTTTGTAATGATTTTGACGGCCAACTCTGGGTAAAGACATGCCCTTTAAACCGTTTCTTCTTCTGTGTCCAGGCAGCACAGCCAGTCGAGGGAAAACATTAACTTCCCAGAGGATGAAGTGGTAGGCGGGTCAGAGGGAGGAATAGAGGAGATCGGTGGATTGGCTAGTCCAGGCAAGATGAACCCACATCAAACATATTTATGCAAACATAAAGCTGGACGATACATGTCAGAGTTAACATGTCACATTTTGTCAAACATAACACATGGCGACCTCTGTAACAAAATATTTTAGGGGAGACATGACTACAGATACAGTTTTCATCCCTCCTGTTAAATATGAACAAATCACCAATTGTTCTTATCTAACTTACAAATGTGAACATACATGTTGTCGTGCACCATAGCTTGCTGAACTAACATCTAAACATGCATTCACCTGGGAAAAGTGCCCTAGTAACGCAGGTTTGCCAGCTAGATAGTTAATTAGTCAGCTGCAGCACATTGAACAGCATGGAAACCTGCAAATATCAGCTCGGTAGTTAGATACTGGTGTGGTGTTCAGTCTTCAATACCAATGTTTTCTTGGGGATTTTGAGACGTACAAATAGGTGATGCCTACTAACGAATCTAAGTGTTACTGTACACCAACCCAGGTGTTCCCTATTCTGATAATACTCAGATTGAGGTTGCAGCCACTGTAGCACTTGGAAGGGGAGGGTGAAACAAGGGAGTTTCGATTTGCGACTACACCCCTAGATACCATTAAATCCTACACACTGGACTTTTAAACTTTTGAAATCAACAATTTTGCATGTTAAATGGATAGTTCAGGTTTTCTGAAGTGGGGTTGTATGAGGTGCTTATCCATAGTCAGTGTAATACCTGCAGTAGACAGAGGTTAGCGTGCCCCTAATTTGTAGAAGCGGACGGGAGTCCTGGCAGGGAAGCAGAGGATTGCACTACTGGATACAGAGTCAGAGAAAAACAACTTAAATCAATATGGCTTTGAGTGTCCATTATATTAGGAACATTTTCACAGCTTAACCTTGCTGTCAGACAGCCCTTTCCTTTGGTGCTACATTGATTCAACCTATAACGGTGCGTTACGCCAGAGATCGGCTGTTTGGACCGTAGTTACAGTGGTTTATGGAAGGGAAAACAATATAATAAAATAAAAATAAGTGATTATGACGGCGACAGCGATGTTCGAGGAGGCAAGAGGATACATTTATGAACCAGAGAAAAATTACTTTTTCAGATGGATACCAAATGTTCTGAAAACATGCATTGCCAAAGGAAAATGCTGTCTGGCAGCAAGATAAAGTGGTGAAAATGTTATTAATATTCCTAGATTATTAATAGATTTTTAATGTGGCTAAAATATGTTTTTGTGCTGACCCTGTAGTCAGCAGTGCATAATTGCTGTGCTTCCTTGCCGGTACTCCTGTCTGACCAGCAGTCAGTTTGTGCTCACACAGTCCTGAGAAGCTCTCTTCAACAAAATAAATATCATCTCAGGGAGTGTACCTTTGTTGTATGTGGACTTTAATATAGAATCTTAATTTACACCCAAAGTCATATCAATCAGTCACCTAAAAATATTATGGCTCGTCTACCTGATGCTGAATCTTGGCGCTGGTCTTTTGCAGGTGCAACCATGGCTTTACCCCGGGCATCTTCTCCCCTCACCACCTCACCCCTGAGTGCCACCCCCACCACCAGCCAAGCCCCTCCCCCTGGAGACGATAACGAGCCTGTCAGCGTCACCATCACCGTCAAGGCAACAGGCTCATAGTCATATATCACAGACTCCTTCAGTTGTGCTTTAACCTGGAATTAATGTTCTAGATAGTTTGCATACTCATTACAGTAGCTATGTGACTTAGATCTCAGCTCAACTACAATAACAGTTACAAACTCTTCCCATATGTTTCACTATAAAACTTTTATTATACAGTCATTTGAAGCATGGACATAGATTTCTACATTAAACGTATGCATACTGCTCAGCCAACAGGAGTGTTGTTTTTGTTGTTTGTTTTTTACAAATTGTTCTTTCTTTATACAAGTGTGAAGCAATGATGACAGATCAATTTAACAAAGGGTTTATTTTGCAGGATGATGAATATTTCATAATGGGACTTGAATAGGTTATAAACCACATTTGATTAATGTGAGGAAACAAATAGCTTAAAATATGTATTGTTCCTGCTTCACATGAGCTGGAATTAATCCTGTAGGGATTTTTTGGGTTGTTAGATTGTGTGATTAAACTTAAACAAAATAAGTCTTGGTGTTAAGTGGCCTGTTACAGTGTGGTCATCTTGTATAAAGTGGTCTGTAGCCTTGTGATTTACATGTAGATATTGAACACGCCTGCTTTTTGTTACATTTCACACCCTTGATAAATACTCTATCTCCTGAATTAGGCCTGTATGGTTAATCTGGAAGCTACAGGATTGAATAATATTTTAAGATATATTGTAAGCCATTGTTTTAATGCTTAATTTTGTTGATTATAAGAAAGTAGAAATAAGTCAGTAACTGGTGTAAAATAAAATAATGCCATGGGCACACACATAAACTTTATGCCATTTATCTGCTCATTAAGTAAATGAATAAATTAAGGAAAATAAGGTCAGTCAGTTGACTGTAAGGGTCAAAGAGAACTATGTTTAACTGAAGTCTGGTTTGACCATGATGTTTAATAAATCATTGAACCAGTGTGTCAATAAGCAAAGATCAACAAGCAGTAAATGTTTGTACTTTGTCCTTCAGGAAAAGGTTCAAGTATTGGGAGAAGGGACCTTAGACTTAATTTTTTTTAATAAGTTTTGATATTTAAAAAATACTACTAGTTACTGTAATATACTAAGTCATGAATATAGTCAGTTATAAGGTCCTCGCTTATTTTAAGTTGATTGACACAGAACGTTTTGAACCTCTCTGCTGTTAATGAAAGGGTGAAGAAATATATCACAAATATTGATCACCTTTTATTTGTCATGAAGTTAATAAGTACCAAGATGGTCTTAATATATCCCGTCCCACTTTCTGAGTGTCACTGTACATTTTGAAATAAATGTACTGTTCCTGCAAAATCTTCTCATTTTTATATTGTTTTTTAATGTTCAACATGGGATTTTCTGTCCACTCGAGTCGGCTTGCTGCACTTTTATGTCTCCTCTCTATGGGTGAGCTACTTTTACCTTTTTATAATTTTGACTTTCAATTACTTACAGTAGTAATGTATTTTTCCATGAATGTGTATTTACCATATAAGCCATTAGTGACATAATTAGATATGGTAAACTTTAATTTAATAATTTAATTTAAAAAAATCAATTTTGTACAATTGTTAAATAGTGTAAGGTTTGAAATGTGCATATGGCAATTAGAAATTTAGTACTGCTGCTGAAAAACTTAAAGTAATTTAATGTCCTTGATATAATGGCAAATTATTGTTTTCACAGGATTTTGACACTTAATCATTAAATTCAGGGGTCTCAAACTCAGATTGGTTTCGGGCAACCCTCAAGTACTACCAGAAAGCACAAAGATTAAAACATAATTCCATTACTAAAATCCTACTAAACAAAAAGAATGCAAACAGCAGTGTCTATACGTTTAATGTCATCTGTGCTGCTCACAGCCAAACAACAAATGAAGTCTGAAAACCAACACATCTTACAGTCTATAGAGACACATATATTTAAAGGGCATTCTGTCAACTTTATACTTGAATTTAGTCATTATGTAGTTGTACTACTCAGCTTGTTAAAACAATTGTATAATTTCTGACATGCCTCTGAAAGGGAGATTTTTTAAAGTCTGTGTGCATTAATAAACCTCTATGCCTCTTTTTTTCTGCTGTCTTTTCAGGAGGTGGAGTGTGGTGTGAATGCACAGAGGATAATGTGCAAATTGAAGGAGGTGATTACAAATTGACCAAGAAGCTGGAATCAGGCAGCCTGTTGATTTACAACTGTCCTAAGGGCTTCTACCCATACCCAGCTTTGACCCGCCTCTGCCAGGCCAATGGCACCTGGACACCAGCACCCAAAAGATTTCAGCCTCAGAGATGCAGGAGTGAGTGATGTGACAGAGATGTTTCTCACTTTGCTTCAAGCTACCTGCTCTACATGATAACAGATCCTTTTGCTTTGCAGTTGTTGAATGCCCAGACCCCAATGTGCTGGAGAATGGAAACGTCTCACCTCCTCAGGAGAGGTACTTTGTGGACAATGGGACCTCGTATGAGTGCTACTTTGGATACACACTGCGAGGCTCATCTACACGTGTTTGCTTACCAAACGGGAAGTGGAGCGGCTCCACTCCCATCTGTAGCCACGACAGTAAGTCCTAAACAGAAACCTACTTTCTGTCTCCCTCTCCTTTCTCTTTTAGATTTGGGATTCATCCTCATTTATGATTGACTTTTGTCATTTCTGTCACAACAGCAGGGGATAATTGTGCTGACCCTGGTATCCCACCTGGCGCCTCAAGATCAGGGAACACATTTGGAATTGATGACACAGTGGAGTACAGCTGCAACAGCAACCAGTTTTTGGTGGGGTCAAGAGAAAGAGTGTGTCAGGCGAACGGCCAGTGGACTGGCAGAGAACCAGCATGCTACTGTAAGCATTATACGTACAAATACTGTTAACAATCTGTGTTGTTTGATTCTAGCCTAATGGAAACAGTGCCACCTGTATACACCTGCAAACAAGGAGGCTGCAACATTCAAAAGCAATGACCAAAACTCTCAAACACTGAAAAGTTACAATTCATATGCCATAATATTTATTTTTTCCCACACACACAGAGATAGACAATTGGAATAGCATTAATTTACCATTTCGATCACTTTTTCTCATTCTGGGTTTTTGAAAGGCTTGGCACTACTCTGCCACATTGCTGCATCTCAGGTTGGAGACTGATTGCACCTATAAACTTAAGTTTGGTTTACTCATCAAACAGTCAGTTTGAACTAACCCACCTCTGACTGAGCAGATAGCCAATCATAGTTTCAATTTCAGGGTTGACCGGTACCATTCGGATCAAGTATAACCCTGCCTTAATAGATGTTCTCTCTTGTATTTTATATACAGTATTATCCTTTCAACAAGTTCTGGTTTTTGTAATGTCTTTCTAATGTCTAATACGCAGCCACCTGGTCACTGGTGGGAAGCCAGTGAGGTGTTGTTGTCACAATTATTACAAAATTATTTCTGTTTACTTTTGCTTCTTGTAGACAAACACACCTATGACACTTCACTGGAAGTTGCAGAGGAATTTGGCAGCGCAATCAAGGACAGCCTCACCATATTAGAGCCAATTGGTAAGTACAAGGAACTGTTATTAATTATTGAATATTAATTATTGGAATTATTTTATATATATATTATATATCAATGCTATATTGAGTTTTTGTTACTACAATATATTTTGTAGTGAGGGAGATAACATTTTGTTAAATGAGCATAGATGTGTTAATCTAACAAAATGTGTTGGTATGAATGTTTGTACCCTGTATCAGGTTCAGAAGGCCTTCTTTTCTTCCATTATACTTCTTTCTCTATAGAAAACAAATATGAATCTAATGGCATGTAATATGTCCGGCACATTAACAGTATTTGTTGTGGATTGTTCAGATGACACACAGGAAGGAAGAACAATCCGGATTCCAAAAAATGGGACACTTAACATCTATATCGCAGTGGATATTTCTGAGAGCATCGAAGAGAAAGACATACAAGATGCAAAAAATGCTGTCAAACAACTTATTTCAAAGGTAAGAAACAAACAGCTTTCCTCTTAATTAAAAGGGAGTAATAACTTTGGATTTTGGATTAATATGCTGAATTTGCAAGCAGTCATCAACATTGTGCTGGGACCATACAGTCAATGGCTGGGACTGGATGTAAGATTGGTTTGACTGATTGTGGAGTCAGTCTGAAGGATGCACATGGGGTGAAAGTACAGACTGCAGTTGATGGATCCTGGCAATTAATTTGCAGAGTTGTTAAAAAATTATAAAATACAGCCTCTAGTGAGACTAATCGGACATTTGATCAATCACTTGATTGATTGCATGTTAGAGTTTTATTGGGCATGGCAGAGGAAACCACAGTATTACGCATGTGTCAGAAATGTCATGTAGATGTTGAGAAACTTTCAAGTATTAATTAGAAATAGGCTATTTTGCAGCCAACCAATTTTTTATTTTCAAATGAAAAGAGTGGAAAGATGAGGGCACATGGCAGTTAGAGAATGGCAATGAAGGGGCCTGGGTAAGTGGAAATGTGACTGGAGGGAGGCTCAGAGAGGCAGAATGTGACGCTTTATGTCTCCACAGATTTCATCCTTTGTTGTGAATCCCAACTATGAAATCATCTTTTTCGCCTGTGAGATATTTGAAGTTATCAACATTATTGACTTTTGGGATGACAAAATATCACTGAGCACCATCAAGGAGAAATTGGAAACGTTTAGAATGGGCGGTAAGTCAAACAGATCAGAGATATTGTTGGAAATACTGTTTTAATATACAACTTGATCTATGTTTAACTGTATGTGTGTGTGTGTGTGTGTGTGTGTGTGTGTGTGTTTTTGACTCAAAGACAAAGCAACTGCTGCAACAGATCTGAACCTCGTCTTTAAGACCTTCATGGAACGAATGAC